TAGCCTATCTTAAACTACTGTAAAAAAATATTCATTTTTTTGTATTTACAAATTTTAATTAGTTCATGGAATTTGAAACTCAATGCAATAACCAGATAATTTTCCTCCAACATAGTTCTACATCATAAACTTCTATGCAGAATTCATTTTTGCAATTAGAATGGCTCTTCCTTCAACTTTTTCTACATTTTTACATTTAATTACAATTCCTGACATTTTTACCCATGCATCAGCATATCCTGATTATATCCACTTCAATTCCCCTTCTCCTTTTTATATCCCTCCTCTCCCTAACCCAGAGTCTTATTAACGCTAACTGCTTGAATATTGTCTGAGTCTCTTGACTTGACCATGTGAAGGTAGTGAAAGAGGGTAAATAGCATGTAGCAGCCATGCCATGTTCAGAAGACAGCATTTCACAGCACTCTTCTTCATTCTCCAGCTCTTACATTCTTCCTTTCCCTTATTCTAGGAAATCCCCTGAATCTTGGGTAGGATCATGGATTGACACAAATGTCTCATTTAGGGCTGAGCACTCAATGATCCCTTATTCTTCATATTTTGACCAGTATGATTACGTAGTTTCTGTGGTTAAGGCTGAAAGCAGCACAAGTCTATGAGTATAGCTTTAGTAAGGAAGCTACTAGTTTGTTCTCAGCTGCTCAGCCCCAAAATAATCACACAGAAACTGTATTAATTAAACCACAGCTTGTCCCATTAGCTCTAACTTCTTATTGGCTAACTCTTACATATTAGTTTAACCCAATTCTATTCTTTTATATTTTACCATGAGGCTCATGGCCTATCAGCAAGGCTCCAGGTAGCAACTTTCTCCTCTGGCGGCTCATGGCTCTCCTCACTCCGCCTCCTTTCTCCCAGCATTCTGTCTAGTTTTCTGCACATAGTTCTCTTCTACCCTATCAGGCCAAGCCAGTTCCTTTATTAACCAATGGTATTCATACAGAGGGGAATCCCATATCATATAACCATAAACATCTAGAAGTTTGGTGCCATGACCATTTATCAGAAAAATGGCAGTAATTCACCCCTAGGGCCTGTGACACCTTGTATTGGCTAGTTTTGTGTCAACTTGCCATAAGCTAGATCTAGTAGGGAACAGTGGACCTAAATTGGAAAAATATTTCCACCAGACTGACCAATGGGCAAGGCTATCACACATTTTCTTAATTAGTGATTGATGTAGGACAGAAAAACTCACTGTGGGAGGTGTCATCCATGGGCTTCTGGTCCTTCTAGATAGCAGGTTAAACAAGGCATGAGGGGCAAGTCAGTAAGCAGCATTCCTCCATGGCCCCTGCATCTTTTCTTGCCTTTAAGTTGCATCCCTGGCTTCCCTCTTTGATGGACTAATAAGTTGCAATGTGAAATAAACCCATTCCTTCTCAAGTTGCTTTTAGTCATTTTGCTTTATCACACATTAGAAACCCAAACTGAGACCCCTCTAAGGTCTTATCAGGTTTTGACCAGGTTTACAATACTAGGCACATATTTCCTTATGGGCAGCAAGACTCATCCATTGGGAACGAATCAAATTGAGAAGAGGTTGACTACACCTTCCAACAGTCTTGCCACTGTTTCACCAGTAGGCACATCTTGCCTTGCAGATCAATAGCATGAACGGATCACTGCTGGATGATTCTCTTAAAACTTCTTCCCACCCCCAGCATTCTATTTAGCACCTTCTGGCACTATGAAAGCTACTCAACAGACAGGAAAATTGTTAGGTCAGTTCTTGATTAATTTGTCTATGTCTTGCATCTAAAGCCTTAGTGTCTCTCTCTTAAATAATCTTGGGTGTGCTATATTGACATATGTATATTTACATACATAGAGAGCCAGTGATATGGCCAGGTGATTGATGAGCATGTGTGCATACATGTCCATGAATGCTTGTTTTAGAGAATAGATGGAGGAAAAGAAAGAAAAGATACTATTATAAACAATATTTATTGGTTTTCAAATTTACACTATAAATTGAAGGTGGATATAGAGAGAATTAGAAAAGATGTTTTTCTCAAAGGATTAGAGAAACTCTGATAATTAGAGCTCTATGCTTGAAATTTGAAATTCTATTTTCAGATTTCTGACATTTAAGTATTTGTTGATTAATTGTTAATTATTTCTTTTCTCACAAGATTGAATACTGGTGACAGTATGTATAGATAATCTCTAAGAATATACTGAAAACATTTTTTGAATGAAGAAATGAAAAATCAGATAATATAACTTTGAAGAGAAGGTACGGTTGACTTAGTTTTCCTCATGTTATTTGTATAAATTAAACAAAGATCTATTGTGGCCTAGATTCTTCAACATCAATGCAGGGTTTCCTGAGGAAGATGTCAGAGACTTGTGGTGAAGTGAGGGCTCCCCTGATCTGTAGCATCTCAGAGGATATTCTTTGCATCCCTAGAATGTTTTCATTTGGAACAAAATGCTGGTGATGCGCCCAAGTGTGTGTGTGTGTGTGTGTGTGTGTGTGTGTGTGTGTGTGGTGTGTATGTGGTGTGTATGTGTGTATAGTGTGTGTGTATATGTGTTGCTGTCTCTTTTTAGAATATCTACTAGGCAGACACTATGTGTTTTGAGTTGATTGTCTAACAGTTTATCCTCCCTGAAATCTCTACTTTGTTGGGAACCACTTAACGTTTTAAACATTAAGATGGTGTATCTGCCTTGCTGTGTGAAATGAAGAAAAGTGCCTGAAATGTAGACTATGAGCTGTAAAACCTCTCTTTTCAGCCTGGGTATGAAGTTAGAGTGATGTGGGAAGTCCTTCTGTGTATATGCTGCTTTTAATGGTTAATGAATAAAGCTATTTCTGCCAATGTCTTAGCAGAGTAAAACCAGGTGTAAGTCCAAACAGAGATATAGAGAGTAGGCAGAATTAGGGAGACATCATGTTACTGCCTAAGGAGACAGATGCCAGATGGAACTTTACATTATAGGTAGGCCACAGTCTCGTGGCAATATATATATTAATAGAAATGGATTGATTTAAAATATAAGAGTAAGCCAGGAATATGCTTTCACCATTGACCAAACAGTGTTGTAATTAATATAGTTTCTGTGTGATTATTCGGGTCTCAGTGGCCAGGAAATAAATGAGTAGTCTCTGTTTACATTAGAACCCTCAAACTGGCCTTGCACCTTGCTTGGTACTATAAGAGTCCACCCTCAAGGCTCTCAAATTGTAGCTTTCTTCACTCTGTAACAGGTCAGCTCCCACTACTCCACTCCTGCTTTCCTGTTGTAAGACTGCATTAATATCTATGTCTGCAACTGCCCCATATCCTAGTCCCTTTATCTACGTAATTTATAACTTTCCTTTTTGATTTAGACTCATATTCCCCATTTTATTGGAGTTCCATGTGAGAAAAAGGATAAAAATACATGATCAATCTACCCATTAAACTAGAGTTTTCCTGTGTTATGGATTAAAAACAATAGCTCTTATTAACAGACTCAATTTATAGAAAAATATATTGAATCTCAGAGAGGTCCACTAAATAGCTTAGTACCTCGCAACTAAGTCACAAAGCTGTGATTCAAATCTATTTTTATCCAAGTCTAAAGTCTATATTTTTTCCATATAGAATTCTGTTGTCCATGGCCATGTGGAGCAGAAGGCAGGCAACTGCTGTCTTATGGTTTTATGAAGACAGTGTTCAGATCATGTAAGATTGACCGATGCTAAATATTTCCCAACAGGCTTAAAATGTTTGGTTTTTCTTTATTTAATAATTTTAAGTGATTTCTGACCTTCAGTCTATAAGTAGGATATTCACGGTGTAAGAATAAAAAGCTTTAGGGGAGACTATGCAATGAATGGGACGTGGGGGTTATCTTTAAACAAAGATAGTAGATATAATTTCATTTTTTCCTAAGCACTAAATAATGTACAATTAAAGCCCTGCAGGAGAGACATGAAGTAGAACTGAGTAACCTATAGTACCTAATTATAAATTTGGCTACTGATACAGTCAGGCACACCCACAAGAAGAAACCCTATGGTTAGGTGACTCCTCTTTGAAGCCTCCTTAAATGATCATGGAAATTCCTGATGCCCAGCTTTCAGCCAAACACACAGAACGAATGAGACATGCACCTTCATTCAAGAGTGTTCTTTGGTGTGTACTCTTTGGATGTGTGGTCACTTTATTGATCTTAAATGTAATGCAAAGCTAAATTTAAGATACAATGAGTAAAGGATCCTTAAAACAAGAAAGAGTGGTGACAGAAACTGTGGCCACTAGGATTCCAAGAGCTGACTATTGCACATTTGTGATGGAACACACACTGCATGGTACCCTTTCCTGTAGTTCTATAGGTTTGGGAAAAAAGCTGAACTGGACAGCGCTACATAAAGAGCTGGACTGGTTCAGCTGAGTGCTAGATGAGCATCTCTCAGAAGACTCAGCAGGATCCTCCTATCACCATCATTCCCTCAGTCATTACTCCCCAGATCAAAGAGCTACTGCCTAGGCTGTATTCTCCTAGGCTCCGGTGAGATACTACTCTGTATCTAAGTTTATCTTGTTTCTCCAGTGATAAGACCTCCCCAGGAGTATTAATAGACATCAGGCCAACCAATCTAGATTCGTTGCTTTGCATCAGAGCCAGGGCCAAACCTGTAATTGAAGATAAGCAGACAGGTGTTCATCATCATGGCATTTCCCGGAGTGCAGGGGTAAGCCCTGGCTGTATGTATGGATGTGGGAGTGAGCTAAATGAAAAGTAGGTTTCTGAATGATGTGTCACTCAGTGTGTGTGTGTGGGGGGGGCAGGGGTCTGAAAAAGAGAGGCTTTTAGAAAGAGGACAGCACCTGGAGACCAGGAATTTGTGACCTGTCTTTGTAGCCAGCCTGCCTCTGCAGCTGTGGGGTGAATGGGATGAACATTTCTCTTCTGGACCAGCCTTCTCCTTCTCTGCAACACGAGTGACACGAGGGTACCAAGAAAACCTGGCAATACTGCTGCAAGGATTCAGAAAAGAAAACAAGTAGATAAGTCCAAATAACTTTTAAAAATTATCTTCTTTTCCCTCTATCTCCTCTCATCTTTATTTTGTGTTTTGATCTTATATTTGGAAAACCAATGAATATTTTATTTTGACTGCATTAAGAAAAAAAAAGTTTCAGGCATGACAACAGCGTTCTTTAACATAACAAGCAAACACACATCCCTACGCATTCTCAATCCTTTCCTAGTAGCAGGCTTTGGTTTAATATTAATTTTCCTTTAAAGTTCCCACCTCAGACTTCCCCTTTAACTCCTGCCTTCTCACAAGTCATTTCCTTCTTCCCCTCTCCTTTTCTACTGGATATCCTGTTTCTTTGCTGTTTTCTTGTTGAGATTCTCTCTTAATTTTTTTTTTTAAATTTTCTTTCACTTCCTCTAATTTCCACATTTTCTTTTAAGTGTGTTTCCCTTTATGAACCTGAAGTGTGGAGAGTGTGCAAATGTGCAAATGTGATGTGGGCAAAGAAATTCGTGTGTTTGCAAGGTTACCAGTTTCAAAAACAAATCATTGTCTTTTCTTTTTTCAGTTTTTTATTTTTTATTAATTAATTGATGAATTATTTTTTTTCCAGCCTGATTAAGTTTCCCATCCCTTCCTCTTCTCCTCTCATTCCCTCCTCCACTCCTCCCCATCCACTACCTCTCCCTTCCCATCAGAAAACTGCAGGACTTCCATGTATATCAGTCAGACAGGATATTAAGTAAGACTAAGCACCTCCTTTCCTATTAAGGCTGGGCAAAGCAACCCAGCAAGAGGAAAGGGTCCCAAGAGCAGGCAACCGAATCAGAGATTGCTCCTGCTCCTTCTGCGAGGAGTCCCATATGAAGACCAAGCCACAGAACTCTAACACGTGTGCAGAGGGGCAGGATCAATCCCATACAAGCTCTCTGGTTGGCAGTTCAATCTCTGTGAGCCCCTATGAGTCCAGGTCAATTGACTCTGCATGTTTTTCCATGGTGTCCTTGGTCCTCTGGCTTGCATAACCCCTCTTTCCCTTCTTCCACAGGATTTCTCAAGGTCTGGGCAGGGTTTGGCTGTGGGTCTCTGCATTTGTTTCCATAAGTTGCAGGGTGAAGCTTCTAATAACAATTAGGCTAGGCAATGATCTATGAGCGTAGAAAAAAATCATTAGGAATCATTTCATTGACTTTTTTTTTCTTTTTGCCAGTCATGTTCAGTCTATCCAAGATCTCTGAGCTGTCTAGGCTCTATGACCTGACCCTGAAGGACTTGTTAGGGGTGTGTTCCCTGTCATAGTGTGAGTATCAAGCTGGACCAGTCATTTGTTTACCACTCCCATAATTTACCTTTGTCCCAGCATATCTTATAGGTAGATCAAATTAAAGGTCAGAAGTTGTGTGATTGGGTCAGGGTCCCAATTCCTCCACTGATAGCCTTTCCTGGTTACAGATAATGGCCAGTTCAGGCTCTGTATCTTTCCATTTCTAGGGGTCTTAGCTAGAATAATCCTCAGAGATTCCTGGGAGTTTCCACTGCACTAGATTTCTCTTATCCCAGAGGTGCTCCTGGTTCTACGTGTCCTTCACAGTACTCTCTCCGTCTATCCTCCCCTCACCTGATCTCTACTGTTCCCACGCCCATTATTCATCCAGACCTCTTTCCCCATCTACCTGTAATGTCTAGTCTATTTCCCTTCTGCAGTGAGATTAGTGTCATCCCTGTCCCCACCTTGAGCCTTTTTTGTTACTTAGTTTGGGTATGTGAATTGTAGCCTGGTTATCCTTTACTTTACAGCTAATAACCACTTAACGGTTTTTGTCTTTCTACATCTGTGTTACCTCACACAGGATAATCTTTTCTAGTTCCATGCATTTGCCAGAAATTTCATGATGTCATTGTTTCTAATAAATGAGTAATACTCCATTGTGTAGATACACCACATTTTCTTTATCTATTCTTCAGTTGATTGGCATCTAGGTTGTTTTACCTGACCTCTCAATAAGGACTCTAAAATCCAGAAGGGCCTGGCAGACTCTAAGAGACCACAGATACCAGCCTAGACTACAATACCAAACAAAACTTTCAATCACTATAGATGAAGAAAACAAGTTATTCTATAACAAAGTCAAATTTAAGCCAATATCTATCCACAAATCCAGTACTACAAAAGGTAAATTCCACCCCAAAGAGGTTAATTACACCCATGAAAACACAGGCAATAAATAACCTCCCACCAGAAAAACTTAAAGAAGGAAAAAACACACACATACACACTACCACCACCAAAAAACAAAACATCAGGAATTAACTATCATTGCTCACTAATGTCTCTCAACATCAATGAACTAAATTCCCTCCAAAAGATCCAGGCTAAGAGAATGGACACAAAAACATGATCCATCCTTCTCCTACATACAAGAAACACACTTCAACACCAAAGATAAACAATACCTCAGGGTAAAGGGGTGGAAAAAGATTTTTTCCAATTAAATGGACTTTAAAAGCAAGCTGTATTGCTATCTTAATATCTAACAAAATAAACTTCGAACCAAAGTTAATGAAAGGAGATGGTGAAGGACACTTCATTGTCTTCTTTAAAAGTTACACTTAAATCTAAAACACAGTGTTCTGTCTGGTATCAAGAACTTTCAGCTGTTTGAAAGAAGTAAGTTATTCCACAAACATGTAGACATGCATAATATAGCTATCACTTGATATCATACAAACATGTAGACATGTATAATATAGCTATCATATGATATCACACAAACGTGTAGACATGTATAATATAGCTATCACTTGATATCATACAAACATGTAGACATGTATAATATAGCTATCATTTGATATCACACAAACATGTAGACATGTATAATATAGCTATCATTTGATATCACACAGACATGTAGACATGTATAATATAGCTATCACTTGATATCACACAGACATGTAGACATGTATAATATAGCTATCACTTGATATCATACAAACATGTAGACATGTATAATATAGCTATCATTTGATATCATACAAACATGTAGAAATGTATAATATAGCTATCATTTGACTGTACTCAGATGTTGTCAAAAATAAATTAATTAGGTAATAGCTAGCATATAAAATATGGGGAACAGAAAGCTGAATGGTAAGAAAAAGAAAAGCAAAGGGCAGAGCTTTAAGAATATTGCTCCCTACTTTCTTCATCCATTCTTCCATTGAAGGGCATCTAGGTTGTTTCCAGGTTCTGGCTATTACAAATAATACTGCTATGAACATAGTTGAACAAATGCTTTTGTCATTTGATAGAGCATCTCTTGGGTATATTCCCAAGAGTGGTATTGCTGGGTCCAGGGGTAAGTTGATCCCGAATTTCCTGAGAAACCGAAACACTGACTTCCACAGTGGTTGCACAAGATTGCATTCCCACCAGCAATGGATGAGGGTACCCGTTCTTCCACAGCCTCTCCAGCAAAGGTTATCCTTGGTGTTTTTGAGTTTAGCCATTCTGACAGGTGTAAGATGATATCTCAAAGTTGTTTTGATTTGCATTTCCCTGATTGCTAAGGAAGTTGAGCACGACCTTAAGTGTCTTTTGGCCATTTGAACTTCTTCTGTTGAGAATTCTCTGTTCAGTTCAGTGCCCCATTTTTTAATTGGGTTAATTAGCATTTTAAAGTCTAGTTTCTTGAGTTCTCTATATATTTTGGAGATCAGACCTTTGTCTGTTGCGGGGTTGGTGAAGATCTTCTCCCAGTCAGTAGGTTGCCTTTGTGTCTTAGTGACATTGTCCTTTGCTTTACAGAAGCTTCTCAGTTTAAGTAGGTCCCATTTATTCAATGTTGCCCTTAATGTCTGTGCTTCTGGGGTTCCCAGTTAGTTCCTTGGGCAGCTGAGGATTGGGAACCTGAAATGACCCTATCCTAGAGCAATACTGACGAATATCTTGCATATCATCATAGAATCTTCATCTGGTGATGGATAGAGATCGAGACAGTGACCCACACAGGAGCACTGGACTGAGCTCCCAAGGTCCCAAGGAGGAGCAGAAGGAGGGAGAACATGAGCAAAGAATTCGGGACCACGAGGCGTGCATCCACCCACTGAGACAGAGGAGCTGATCTACGGGGAGCTCACCAAGGCCAGCTGGACTGTGACCGAAAAAGCATGGGATAAAACCGGACTCTCTGAACATGGCGAACAATGAGGGCTGATGAGACACCAAGGACAATGGCACGGGGTTTTGATCCTACTTAATGTGCTGGCTTTGTGGGAGCCTAGCCAGTTTGGATGTTCACCTTCCTAGATATGGACGGAGGGGGGAGGACCTAGGACTTAACACAGGGCAGGGAACCCGGACTGCTCTGTGGACTGGAGAGGGAGGGAGAGAGGAGTGGGGGGAGGGGGAGAAGGGTGGGAGGAGGGGGAGAAGGGTGGGAGGAGGGGAAGGGAAATGGGAGGCTGGGAGGAGGTGGAAACTTGTTTTTTGTTTATGTTTTTTTTCTTCTTTTCGCAATAAAAAAAAATTAAAAAAAAAGAATATTGCAGTATTTTTTGCAAGTGGAAGCTAGGCTGAATTAATTAGCAGAAAACAATTAATGAGCATAAAAAGTGGTGCTAAAGTATGGAAAGACTTGAATTCTGAAAGTCCTTGCAACATCAGGAATTTAGATATTTTTCTTTGCTACTTTTATTATGCTATGTGTTTGCTGTAAAAATGATTGAGAAAACATCAACCAAGTACATGTCATGTCATGTTTTTCATATGACTATATAATATATGCAGTTTTTTCTTACATTTGTTCCTGAACATTTTTCTATGTTACTGAATAATAAATAGAAATGCTTAAAGGCCCTTAAAAGATCAAAAAAGGAAAAGAAAAATGTGGAGCAGAATAATGTTGAGGTCTCATAGTAGGTTAGACTGTGCTGGGTCATGTAGACTATGCAGGATTTGAATTACAGGAAAAGACCCTCTCCAGCAAGAACAGCAATGGGGAAAACTTCAGGGATGGAGTAAGGAACACAGTTCATGTGTGGTTCAGTGGGCGAAGGCACTATGATCAGGGAGGACAGTTGAGCTAGCTGTCTTTGGACAAGGTGGGGACCTAGGCAAAGGGAAAGCTTACAGGATCCTTTCTTTACCAACACCGAAGACCAGTAAGGAGAAGTGTATTGGGATAGGGGCCCATAGTCAGGAAAGAATGCTGTCCCCCAACCCAAAAGTAGCAGTTAAAAGTAGTACAGGAGTAAAAATGAAATTTCCCATGGGGAGAGCTTCCAAACTGAGAACAGTCTAGGTGAGAGCAAGGGTATTGCTTGCTTTCCCTTAACTGTCCTTGTGGTTGGTACTTAATAACATAGTTGACCCAATGCTTTTAAAACCAGGGTACAATCAGTATATTGTAAAATTTGGTTGGTCACTATGAGCAGATTTAATTCCAGCACTCTGGAGCCAAAGGAAGGCAGATCTAGGTGAATTCAAGGTCAGCCTATTCTATACAGTGAGTTAAAGGACAGCAAAAGGTACATGGTGAGACCCTGTCTCAAAACAAACAAACAAACAAACAAGTTAGAAAATAGGGAAGAAATAGAGTGGCAGAGAGATAAATACAGAAGAAAAAAGCAATATATATATATATATATATATATATATATATATATGACCTGCCATAATCATTCTCAATAATTTATTTTAGTAAACCAAGATTTTTAAGTTTGAGTCAATTTCTTTTAAAAGAAATAAAACAAAATCACATTTAATAGTGTACCAGAAACACATTTGGGCTTCTTTTTATGTATTCCAGACTTAAATAAAAATGAGTAGACGATTACCATTATTAGAAGATATTTTTCCTAATCCTTATTTTTTACTTTTTGGGTTTGTTCCTTTTATCCTTCTACACTTATAAGACATATTTTACATTACTATGTTTTTACTTGACAATAAGTAATAAAGTTTGTTTAATGAAACTTCATGCTGTACTTATGTGAACAAATTATATGGACTGCTTGCAGGATAAAATGTTTTTTTTTTTCCTGAGAACTATATAAGAGAAAAATAAGAAAAATCAATTTATCCAAAGCTGATTTGCATACTTCCTATGTATTTTGGTTAACTTTTAAATCTGTTGGAACTTTTAGTTCTTTTTTTTTTTTTTGAGGTTCTGAAAGATTTTTATTAAGATGGTGATAGATATAAACATGAAAGAAATTGTAAAGTAACTGTGCTGGTGAAACTAAAACAAAGAAAAAGTTAAACATAAACATCACTGCTGATTCAAGGAAAGTGGCATCAATACTATTAAATAAACACAGTCACTTGTGTTTGTTACCGTAGTTGAAGTAGTGATTAGTTTTGGGGCTTTTAAGAATTAGGCCTAGTGGAAGTTTCTTTTTTTTTTTAACTGTTTTATTTTTTTTAATTTTTTAATTTATTTATTTATTAAAGATTTCTGTCTCTTCCCTGCCACCGCCTCCCATTTCCCTCCCCCTCCCCCAATTAAGTCCCCCCCCCCAGCCCGAAAAGCAATCAGGGTTCCCTGTCCTGTGGGAAGTCCAAGGAACCCCCACCTCCATCCAGGTCTAGTAAGGTGAGCATCCAAACTGCCTAGGCTCCCACAAAGCCAGTGCGTACAGTAAGATCAGAAACCCATTGCCATTGTTCTTGAGTTCTCAGTAGTCCTCATTGTCCGCTATGTTCAGAGAGTCCGGTTTTATCCCAGGCTTTTCCAGACCCAGGCCAGCTGGTCTTGGTGAGTTCCCAGTAGAACATCCCCATTGTCTCAGTGTGTGGGTGCACCCCTCACGGTCCTGAGTTCCTTGCTCGTGCTCTCTCTCCTTCTGCTCCTGATTTGGACCTTGAGATTTCAGTCCTGTGCTCCAATGTGGGTCTCTGTCTCTGTCTCCTTTCATCGCTTGCTGAAGGTTAATATTCAGGAGGATGCCTATATGTTTTTCTTTGGGTTCTCCTTATTTAGCTTCTCTAGGATTACTAATTATAGGCTCAAGAACTTTTAGTTCTTAAGAAACAGGAAAGCATCTAGTATGCATTCAGACAAAACCCAGGGAGATGACTTCAGAGATATAAAACACCTTTTACAATTGAAGATTTCTGACTGCAATGGGGCAGGGCTCCACAGAGGGCTTGCACAGCTGAGGGATGTGGAAGTGCTCTACATCCACTTTCTTCCCCCTCCTCAGAGACCTGATCAGTCTTATTACAGAGGCTGGATTTCTGGCCTCAGTTCCCATAATACAGGCCAGTCTGGCTTCCTGCTGCAGTTCCTGCCACCTGAAGATATTTTTCTTAATCTAGTTGTCACTTCCCATCAGGGAAAGCAACCCTGTTTGGGTGAGTTCAAAGAAAGTCTGCCTTGGTCAAATGAGGGCTCAGGAAGGAAAAGGAAGTTCAAGTATTAACTGTCCACTCCAAAGAGTATCTGAGGGAGATGGAGCAGAAATTCCAAATGATCTAACATAATCTATTGTTTTTTGGATTTGTTTACTTTTATATGCACACATTTACAAAATACATTTCCCATTAGTATTAAATTGGGTTAAGAAACCAAGATTATTTATATGCCCAAATTGTTTTTGTTTAAAGAGGCACTTTTTTCCTCAATAAAAGTAACTATGTATGATTCTTTAAATAGGCAAAAAAGCCTCCTCAGCATGTTGTCGTAATGTGGTATCCTGAACCTGACACAGAAAAGACAAGAAGAAAATAAGAGAAAACCCAAGGACTAAGAATTAAAGTCAGTGATAGCACACTTGCCTTGCATATGTAAGGGTATGGCTTAGTCCAGTAACACAAACAAAAATAACTTTAAAACTTTTAAAATAAATAAGACAAAAGTTGTACATGTAATGTGAAGTGATTTGCCAGAGGAGTCAAGACTACTATAAACACTGGAGAGAAGTGTTATTTGACAGCCATTGAAACACAGCTTCACCCATGATGATCATATTTTCTGGATTAGTCTAACCAGATCTTTTGCAATATTGTGTGGTTTGGGTGTGGTGGTGGAAGTCTGGTGTGAGTCACAATGATGAGCAATAGTGGGAGGTGTTTTTTTTTTTTTATATAATGAAGGAATGTAGCTTGTTCAGCACACCATCTACTCTGAATGCTTTTTGGATATTCTGCAAGCAAGTCTTGTGCTGGCGCATGCTTGTAACTCCAGCATCTGTGAGACTGAGTAGGCTGGAGAGTCTGAGGATAGTCTGGGATGCATGAGGGAAAGGGAAGGGGAAAGGAGAGCAGTGGAGGGGAGGATAAAAAGGGGAGGAGGTCAGGAGGGGAAGGGAGAAGACGTGAAGAAGTCTTGAAAGAGGAAATGAGGGCTGGGTCAGGGATATATATGCCTATTGCCTAGAGAAATTTTTTAGATTAATTTGTTTTATTTTATGTATATGAATGTTTTGTTGTCTTCTACATCTGTGCATAAAACACACACCTGGTACCTGAGGAGTCACAAGAAGTCATTAGATGCCTTGAACCTGGAGTCATGAAATGGTTGGGAGCCACCATATGGGTACTAAGAACTGATCTAGGTCCTCTGCAAGGGTACCTTTAACTCCTGAGCCAACTCTCTAGCTCCAACATGACTATTTTGTTTTTAGTAGGAGGTGGTGGACTTGATACAGATATTAGAAAAGATGACACTACTAATTTTGCTTTCTGTCTGTCATAAATGATTTTTATGAGTTGTTGTGGGATAATCTTTTGTATACCATGTAGATATGCCTTCGCCAGGGCACCTTCTGATTGGTTTAATAAAAAGCTTGGTAGCCAGTAGTTAACCAGGAGAGAATAGGTGGGACTTCCCAGCTGAGAGAGTAACTTAGATGGGGGCAAATTTAGGCACACAGGAGAAGCCACTGAGGAGACACAGAGAGAGTCAGCCATACAGAATGAAAAAGAGGTAAAAAGTCACATGGCAGAATGTAGATTAATAGAAACAGGTTAATTTAAGTTATAAGAGCTAGTTGGGAAT